TTTTCGAGCACCCAAACCTACTGCAACCTTGTCCAAGTAAATTTGAGGTCACCTATGTTAAACCGAAAACGACCAACACTTAAGGAGAAAACAAAATAGCAAGAAAGCGCATAATTAAAAGGAAAAGAAAAACTATGACAAGTCCAGCTATAACAATAAATCAGTCTAACCACATGAAAACCTCTCCTTTGGAATAAGATGATTGATTGAATTTTCAACTAAACCTCAGAAGATTGACCAACACTTCAATCAACTCTGCCCTATTTGTATATATTTCACAAGTTCTAATTTCAATATCTAGAGAATTCGTGACATCCTTTAATTGTTCCAAAAGAAAATAGCAATAAAATTGAGTAAAAAGAGCTAAGAAATTTAAAAATCGAAGAGAAGGGACCTGCAAAGTCGTGAACTGCTCCATGAATTTTCTGAGGAGCAGAAAGTCTCATGTTATTGAAGCCTTCAAGCAATCACTGATTTTCGACTTCGAACCGGTGTCTGAAGTCCACCACCAGTGGCTCCGATTAGCCGTTGTCTTATATTTTGGGGATAGCACAGTTATAAAGGATGCCACAAAATCTTGTCTCGCTAACATTTTTTTTCCGACAGCGCACAAAGAAAAAAGACTAAACTTGCTATGGTGTATTATGAGAAAGAAGAGGAACAGAGAAGGCGTCATTAAGATGAATAGTATAGGAAGGTTTAATGAGAAGGGGTAATGATGGAGCGTGACTTTTGAGTCTTAACCGTTTGGTAAAAATTATTTTGAACAAAGAGGAAAGACACAAAATAATAGAGAAAAGGTTAAAAAACTGTGGAAAAAGATAAGTTGAAATACTTGCTTAGGAGAGTGCCACGTCAACCGGCCTATGTCCCTCAATTGAATATATATAGAAATTGTTTACTTGTGCCACCCCTTATACTTTTCGTCCAAATCTATCCCTATCGTTAACAAAATTTGCATAATTGCCCTAACCCTAACGTTTTGACACTGTAGCACTCGGGCCCTCAAATAAATTCCCATGTCAGGATTGGAAGTAATTTAATCTTTAAAGAAATTATGTTTCTTTATCCAAATTAGATAAAGATAAAAAAACAAAATAAAAAGGAAAAAATCCCTTACCCTACCTGCCTGTAACCTCTCCTCACGATAAACCCAGTTCACCGGCTCTAACCTCTCCTCATGAATTAGTCTGAGTTTTTTTCTCTTTTTGTTCTTTTTCTTGTTGTATGGTTCGTATTTACTTTACCACCATTGAAGTCCTTCTGTTGATGAGAGTTTTCCGATGAGGGGTAGCGGTCGACGGAGTGGGTTTTCTTTTTCTTCTCCAGTTCTCCTCTGTTTCCGGCATTATCATCTTGATTGATTGAATTTTGCAACTTTGATTTCTATAACAAACTCAGATCTTTTTGTTATTATCATATCTATAAGAATGGGGTTTCACATCAATTTTGATTGATGTTGTTCCCAGCAAAAAGTACAAGATCGTAAAAGTAGGATTAGATAACACCGGAAACCTCTATTACCACCCATCATAGTACCATACAACCACCAGCTTCTATCCCACCAGTACTTCCATGTCCTCTAACTCACCTTCATGATTTTAGACAACCAAGTTTCTCTTGAGTTCTGAATTTTTAGGGAAGAAAAGTAAAAGAAATGAAGATTATTGTCTCCCATCATCGTATCTTTTCGACAAGCTCGCCGGAAAGGAAGAAGACTAATATGACTTGTGTCCTTTGGGATTTATCATAGCACTCCTGAAATTTTCAGCCCATTCAGAAAATCTATATCACTCTCGTTCTAATTTTATTATTAGGAATTTAAATAATCCTTGATGGGTTTCAAAAGCTTTCAGCTTGCGGTGGCAGTGGCTATGGCGTTAGAGAAGTAGAAGAAATGATGTTGAAAAAAGAAGAAAGAGAAAAGCAAAAGAAAAAAGGAAAATTTTCCCTAGTACTATGGTGAATTTTCTAATTTAATAAATGCAATAACTAAGATATTATTAAAAGTGGTAAAATGTACTCTACCTTGGCATTTTATTTGGTGGGACCTGCTGACTTGATTGCTGACATGGACAAAATATTAGAGGGGTCAGCTGCCACAATGGATGGACGTTAGGGTTAGGGGAAATTATGCAAACTTTATTAACGGTATGGATAGATTTGGACGAAAATTATAACGGGTGGCAGAAGTAAACAATATATCATAGTAGAGAGACAATTGTGGACCTTTTCTCACACAACAATCTCCAATAAAATACTTTGAAGATCCATGTAGAATCAAAATTTCTTCTTTCACGGCAACAAAATTCTTCAATCTATTATTTCAAAAAATATGCTGATATAACATGATATCTTAACTGACCATGAATCCGTAGAAAACTTGCTCTAAATTTGTTTTAAAATGAAAATTTACGATTGAATTGTTCTCAAATAGATGTGTATCTTTAGAATAGTGAAATGAAATTTCGCATGTTGGTTATTAGTCTATCCAATTTAAATGTCAATGAAAATTTGCCCTAGTATTTTAGCGTTTGTTTCGGAAACAGGGAGAATTTGTTTTTGGCCAAATTCAAGTTTTGAAGCTTTGTTAAAATATTTCAAGTTTTGGAAATTTGAGTAAAAATATAAAATTAGTTCTACGCAATATTGAACTTCACATGATCGTGAGTTAACTCAAACTTGTAAATACTGGACAACTGCTGAATGAAAAAGTCAAAATTGACACCTTCAATCTATCTCTCTCTATATATAATTGACAATTGAAAAAGTAAAAATTGACACCTTCAAATTTTGGAAAAAGATAAATGTGAATAATTGACAATGAGACATGCCACATCACCGGGCTAATATCCTACAATATAATATACATATACTATACCAATTAAACAAAATATACTAAAATATACACATAATATATTAGAGGATATACGCATAAAAATTAAACTATTAAAGTGGTCACTTTCTAACCCTAAATACTTAGTATATTTGGCCAAACCTAAAAAGCTTTTCCATCCCTCATTTTTCTATCTTTGTTTTCTCCTTCTTCATCTCTTATCTTTCTTAGGGTTAAATTAAGGAATGGACCACGGGAAGAGGAATAATGCTTCGTAAGTTTTTGTTGTGTTTCGTGGTAAGAGACCTGGATTGTACAACTCTTGACATCAGTGTGCTCCTATGGTTATTGGTGTCAAGGGCAGCATCTTCAAGGCCTTCAAAACGTATGATGAAGCCATAACAGCTTTTAATGAGTTTAGAAATGGATCTCAAGCTGATAATATATCGGCATCAAAGGTGTATGTGGTATTTCGTGATAAAAAGCTAGGATAATACAACTCTTGGTGTGAGTGTGCTCCTATGGTTATAGGTTTCAAAGGAAGCATCTTCAAGTCTTACAAATCTTATGATGAAGCAGTGACAGCATTCAATGAATTCCAAAAAGAAAATGTTTACAGTGAAGAACAATCTTCAAGTTCGTCTGTTGATGAAAGTGATGTTGGAACAAGTGCTATGTCATCTGTGTTGTTAGCTGGAATGTTTGTAGGGATGCAGATTTCAAAAAATTGTTCAGTTTGATTGTTTATAAGAGTATTTTGTTCAGCTTTTGATGATTGTTTAGTTTGGTATTATCAGTTTGATTGTTTAGTTTGATATGTTACTGGTTGTCGCATTCAACTTCTGTAGAATAGAGTATTTAGGATGCCAAAACATTTGTCTTTTGTACTCCCGGTTGGAATGAAATAAAATATGTCTGTTGAATTTATTTTATTTTAAATTTTTGAACTGAACTGAATGTTTTAATTTGTCTATATTGTTGGAACCTTGTAAGTGCCAAAGTGTTATCATTTTGCACTTATTTTAATCCGTACTACATTGATTCATAAGCACTCAACTATCTTCAAGTACTCATCAACTATCTTTATAAGTTCAGTATGTGCTATATGTTGCATCTTGAAGTACTAAACTATCTTCATATTTATTGACAATACATTTTCCTATTGTCCAATGTTGGTGTCATAAGTTCAACGTGCTATATTAATTTGGAAAAAAATTGAACAATTTTAGAGGACTTAATTAATCTTTACAAATGTTACTATTAGTACTTTCATTTCATTAGGCATCAAACGAACAGTTGCAATATTGAAGACAATAGGATTGTTTTGTTAACTTGAATCAAACGATCAATATGCCTCACTGTTTTTTTTGAAGGGTTTTCTATACCTTTGTGTTGTATCATCAAACTCTATTTTTGCTAATACAAGACCCCCAGGAAATCTGGAAAAAGTTCATAAAAAAATAAAAAAGATTCAAAACATAATAATAATTTCATTCATTAATATTAGATTGCATGATAACATCACCAAAATATAATAAGATAAATAAAAACATCACCATAAGGGGTAGACAACTTCATAGACTATTAGAAAAACATCACCATAAGCAAAAAAGACAACTTGAGATAAAACTTCATAATGCATGGACTACTCAATATTCTAGTTCACGGAAAGAGACTTTGAGGTCTTGGAGGCGGATTCGGTATCACTAGTGATAACAATGATAGAATTGCTCTTAGCTCCATTCTGGACGGATGGTGTGGGCATATCGTCAAGCATAGTATAGAGTGAAGTTAGAGGATGCTTCTCCAACATCACACTTTTTAGGTAATCAATGCTTGAATCACGAACCACCCTCTCTATCAATTTATTAACCTCACGCTTGAGCTTACTAAAGTCACGCTTAAGATCTTGGTACAAAATATTATGACTAACAGGTGAACCATGGAGTGGTTGTTCAACAACTTTCTTGGTCGGAGTCCTATCCATCGTTATGCTTACATGTAGTAGTAGTTTCAGTTTGATTGTTTTATGTAGTTCTAACATATTTTCCGAAAAATATATAGGGAGAATTATAATCTCTCAATTATAATAGCTATTCCACTTCCCAGTAGGACTTAAAGTTTCTTTATAGAGACCCTATGCAACCATTACACTTTCCAATAGTCATATCCGCTCTTCCATGCGGACATTACACATCCTAGCAGCCCCTTCCACCCCTTCATGCATCCATTTCACTTTCCAGTAGCCCCTTCCACTCCTTCATGCAACCATTACACTTCCCAGTAGTCTATTTCACTCCTCTGTGCACCATTACACTCCTCCATGTAACCATTACTCTCCTCCATAACTACAATTAATTATAGAATCTTGTCTTTAATTTATCCATCCGCCTATACAGATTTTGGATTTTTTTTTTAAAAAAAAACTTCTGCCATAAAGTGGCACGCACTTCACAGTTTTTGGATTTTTTTAACTTCTGTCATATAGTGGCAATGCACTTCATAGATTTTATCTCATAGTCTTAATCTTAGAAGACTTGAGTAATCCATGTAAAGATTATTTGGCCCCCCATATATAGTCACATACTCAAACCCTAAACTATGAAAAACACACTAACCTATAAACCCTAAATTATGGATGCCTCTCCCTCTACCAAACGAGCCCTATCTTACTCTTCTACTAGCAGTGACAATAAAGAAGAGAATCCTCAAACATTTGAAGTGGTTATGACTGATTCATACATCTACTACGACGATCTGGTAAATTATTATGTCCTTTAAACTTACAATAATTTCTTGAGTTAATCCTAACTGTTTTTTACATAAAATACTTTTGTTTCTTATACCTTAACTCCAGAAAATATTTATGCGTCAGAATTGTATATGTTGATTTAGTTTCATATTTTCCGAAACTTAATAGTAATATTTTTTTAAAGTATATTCCAAGAAAAATCTACAAGCATCTTCCTCCAACAGTAGACATCGCGCTTCATCACTATCTTGGCCAAGAGTGGTATGTAAATATGAGCGTTGGTGCTAGAAGGAGGTTTAAGACAGGCTGAAAACTTTTGTTTTGGACAATTATGTCAAGCGAGGTTTCAGTCAAATTTATGTTGGTTGATGTTGCAACACTATATGTTGACTTCAATGTTGAATTGAAGGGAGAAGGAACTTCTGATAATAATCCGGTTGAAATTGATTAGGATTTGTATTGTGTTTTTCTATCCCTTTACTATATTTTATTTTCATGTATGTTGATGTGTTAATGTTATGAAATTTCAATCTTCATATTGGTCTTCTTTACTATAATAATTTTCTTTATTTAATGAAATGTTTAGTAAATGCTTTTTTTGTTAATTCCATTGTATGGTGGCAGTGTTTTTTATATCTACTCTTTCAATATACAAAAATATTGAAAGGGGAATAAAGAGCAGAAATACAGAAGAAAATAATAATAATAATAATAATAATAATAATAATAATAATAATAATAATAATAATAAATAATAGTAAATACTTCATAGGGAAGTTAAATAGGTTGGTATGTTATCAATGTATTGTAAGATCTAGTAAATACTACATAGGGAAGTTAAATGGGTAAGTTTTGTATTCAAAGAGGAACGGTTATACTGATTTTACAATGAACTCTTGGAGTATTTGGTTGAAGTTAGAGTTAGAAATTGGTTGCAGTTGAATGTTGAAATTTTCAGAGAAAAAAAAACTTGCAATGTAAGGGTTGAAGATAAGGATACTAAGATAGGTATTGAAGGTAGGGTTGAAGGGTAGAGTTTTAGTAGCTGAATGTGAGTATTTTAGTTCTTAGTTTGAACTGATTATAATGTCCTGAAGTCTTTCACTTCTGTAGTAGTTGCAACTAATCACATTTTGTTATCCTAGTTCTCTACATTAAAATGAAGTAACAATAAAATGAAATATTTAACAATGACAATTATAACACCACACGTTTAAACTTATTACAAATCAAAGTAAAAAAATTCTAAAAAATCTATCTCAAATAAAATTAAATAAGATTCAAACTTAAATCATCTCAAACTAAACGGTCAAGTCTTCTATTTTCCAGTTTGCTTCATCGTTTAGATCAAGCAAGCTACTCTGTGGTGGTACTGTTGCATCATCTTGTTGTAATTAGAGTTAATAAGACTAATAAGCAATGTATTTTTCAGAAAAAAATATAATAATAATTTGTGATACTTTATCTCAATTCCTTCCTCTTGCTCAGTATTTCCACCACCGCTACCATGGTCTCTACCACCACCTCTACCACCACTTCTACCAACACCTCTACCACTACCTCTACCACCACTTCTACCCCTAATATTACCTCTAACTCCACTTCTACCACCCGTTTGTGAACTTCTAAAGTATGAATCAATTCGCCCTCTATATCTATTCAACCTTGGACGTCCACGAGAAGCTACGTATCTAAGACCTCTTATATTTCTTCCTTCACCCTCACCCTCATCCTCACCCCCACCTTCACCCCTACCTTCACCCTCACCCTTACCCTCACCCACATCATCATGTGTATCTTCCAATTCCCAATTTGGAAGTATCATATTACCATCCTAATTCAAAAGGTCATGCTCCAATCTGTTCAAATCATACTTAATATATCGCCTTATCACTTCAATGTCCAATGCAATATCACAAACCCGTTCAAAATATTTTAATAGCTCCCTATACATCATGTATTCAGAAGTCATACGTGGGTAACCTCCTAGAAAGAAACGTTTCAAGTGCGGACGAACAATATTTTTTCTCCACTTTTTCAATATATACCTCTCATTAACGTTTTTAATCCTCTTATGAGCCAACACCTTAAGTATATGGCAACATATAATACCTCTTGTTTCAAACCACTTGCAGCTGCAACTTAGATATTCGCCAATAGGTGTATATTCAACTATGAATACAAATGGATCTCTAGTGTTAAAACTCCTGAACGAATAATCTGTGATAATGTAATTCTCCACTCCAGCTGTTGCTTGATGGTCTTTAGGGGTGCTGATTTCACAATGGTACAGTTTCCTTAACTGTACTTGAAAAAATTCAAACACTTCACGAGTATAACATATTTGAAATTTTTCCTCCCATGCAAATTCAGATAAACATTTTGGTTTAAAGCACCTTGACCTATATTCATCTTCCAATTCTTTCTCGAACTTAGCTCTTATGGCTAACTCATATTGATGAACAAATAGCTTCAAAGTGCTTTGGCGGGTGATGAATCCGTCAAAGAAAGCATGCATTCCTTCACTTCTTTGTGTGGACAACATCCCAGCCCAAAAATGGTCATTTAGGTATACAGGAACCCATTTCTCCTTCTCCGAATAAAGCTTATAAAACCAATCTCTTCCATCTAAGTTATATTTTGCAATATAATCAGTCCATCATCTCTCAAACTCAACAACGTTAATGCTATCAAGAACTAAACCCTTAAATTCTGCCGTTGCAATCTTACCATCAAGAACTCCGCTTAACTTCGTATGCAACTTTGCGAATATGTGCCATATACAATATCTATGTACCATATTTGGCATCAATGCATTGATGGCAGCCTTAATACTATCACATTGGTCAATCATGATATCTAATGGATGAACATTATTTAGAGCCCGAAGCTATATAGAGAGCACCATTTTGTAACTTGTTATATCCTCACTAGACATGAGCACATCCCAAAAATATGGACTGTCTATGCTGATTGACACTAACAAATGAAGCAAATGACATATTGATTCACAAGGTATGTGGTATCAAGGCATATTACATCATGGAACTCCTCATGTGCAACCTTAGAGTGTGAATGAACCCATACGACATTACGAAGTCGACCAAAACTATCCACATCTACGGAGTAGTAAAATTCCCTATCTTTTTTGCTGCATGTCACTGAAGAACTTGAGTAATGATTGTGCATCCTCTTCTTGCAACTGAAGCTTTCTACTCTTAAAAATATAATTTCTACAGTCCTTTGATGTACAACCCAGATTTTCGGGGCCACCAGCAAGTACTTCAGCATTTCTTATATTTTTTGAGGGTCTTAAGCCAGCAATATCTTTGGCTACAAGAGTTCTCTTAAGAGACTTACTAAGCGATCTGTGTCCAGCCATCAATCGCGATAGTGTTGGTTCCAATTGATGATTGTGTTTTTAACCACCTTTGAAACACGCCATAAACCATTCTCCTCCAAAATTCCATTTATTCTAGCACGACAGTTCCTTCTCTTGGTAACATGCTTATTCCTTGGTTTCCTAGACCTATCACAACCATATTTCACATACCTAACAATATCACCATCATTTTTGTTTGATGTTCTTTTGACAATGCAAAACCCCGATAATCTTGCATGTTCTTTGTAAAAATCAATCATAACATCCTTACTACTGAACCGCATCCCAGTAATTGGACCAATTATGATATCTTCTTCATTGAACTCATTAGGTATTTTCCTGTCCTCTCCAACTTCTCCCTCTTCTTCTAAATAATGGTTGTCATCATCATCATCATCATCATCATCAGCAACAACAGCAGCAACATCGTCAACATGATTTTCTCCATCATTGAAGTTGTCGTCTAAATCAATGTCGATTGACTCATCTTCATTCATCAAACTGCCATCCGAATTCAACCCTAATGACATGTTTAATGCATTCCTTAGTTGCTCCAACCTAGTTTCTAGGGTGTTATTTGGGTTTAATGGCTCCAAACTAGTTTCTAGGTTAGCATTCATGTTTAGGTTAAGGGAAGGGTGGTGAATTATGTGTTTAATGAAAGGTCTCTTAACATAAGTGTATGGTATGACAAGGTATACCATATAAATGAAAAAACAATATTATGTATAAGACTTTTGATCTTCCCATCCATATAAATTGCATTTAAAAAAAATACATAATAGTATAGTTATACATATACGAAGGCCTTTTATCTTCCCATGCATGAGAGAATAATGATTTATGGGATCAATGTTTTGGGATAATCAAAATTTATTAACTAATTTTTGAGGGAAATATTTTGGAGGGAAAAATGGCCATTAAGCCAAATGTGAAATGAAGGGCTTTACTGGTATTTCATGAGTGTGGTCATTGTTGGGCCACACAGAGTTTGGCCGAATAGCAGATCTCCGTAAATAAGCCGTTTCCCTTGTATTGCAAACTAAAACGCCTCATAAAAGTCCAAAAGTCTCCAAAGAAAAAAAAACAAGAGGAAATATTCAAGGATTTGGAAGCACATCCACATTTCCCAATATTTGTCATTTTTGGAATGTGATGTCTGTTATGTTTTATTTTATCGTTTTGGGATTGTTGGAGGGTGGCTCTATGTAGCGGGTTGGGGGCGGCACATATCATGTTCTTGATTTCTGTTCGCCGAAAGCAGTCTGTGTGGTAGCCAAGTCCCGCACTTGACTTCATCCTTCTCACAACACTTAGCCAAAATTATAGCAACTTTAGACTTAGAATATTTTTAGGCAGCTTCAACGTAGTAAGTTTAGGAATTAATTTAGGCTACGAATTTTAAGTAAAGATAAAAGAAATAAACAAGAACACAAGGCACAATTACTGGAAACTCTTTTTCCAACTTTGTATTTAACTCGAGCATACAAAGAAACTGAACTCGAAGTACAACCGTGTACAAAAGAAGATAACTCTTGACCCTCAAGTTTTTCTCACAAAGACTTAGGAACTCTTTCCTAACTCAAAACATGCACTCTATATGTTTTTCTCTACTGCCCACAAGCATAAGGATGCTGCCCATTTATAACACATGAGACAGCCCTTTGCCTTACACTTGTCGCCTTAATCTTACACTTGTCCCTCACAACTCACTATTTTAGCCTAGTATAGTTGACATCCCCCAACTAATAGGATCATTTAGATCAAGCTAAAAATAATGGAATTATGGCCCAAAAAACATGCTAACAATTCTGTCAGCTTTTAGCAAAAGCCAATTGTTGCCCATGTGCACAACATGTGCGGTGTAACCGCCCTTGACTTGGTCAATCTAAAGCTTGCTGCCCATGTGCGTGCCTAGACTTGAATTAGGTGCCAATGCCTTGTTCTCATTTGCATTGTAGCTACATTTTTCCCATGCCATTGCCCATGTACATGGCCTGTTTGCCGCACCTCATTCTCATGACAAGTCTGCCTCACGCCTGCATGCCTTCCGTTGCACTTAGTCTACCTTTGCACACTTCCTTTTTGCCTTACCTTGGCATCATTGCCTCATGTCTTGATTTTGCCACGATCAAGTGTCACCCTTAGCCCGCATCTCTTTGTCAAGTCTTTGCCAAGCTACCTTGCCTCCGCCAAAGCCTTGGCCATCACTTGCTCGTTTCCCTTTTTGCCTTGGTGCTAGCTCGTGCACCTTAGTTTGGCAAAACTCTTACTTCCTGATCATTGCCAACTCAACACTACACTAAGGTAGGAAGAGCGGGTCATAATAGCTTTTACCCGATATGAGGGTCAGGATCGATTTCCTCAGGGACCTAGTAGTGGAGTTGGATTGTCTGTCTATCCTGGAGATGTGTTTGTACTCCTAATGTCACTTCAAACATTTTTGGGTTTTCAAATTATAACTATTTTTGTAAAACTATTGATTAACACTAAATTATTCTACGAGAATATTGCTAAGTTGTATCTAATGGGAAGATGGGCACTA